AGTTCGCAAATTAAGAAGTTAGTTTATTTATTTATTTATTTATTCAGAAAATTTGCAAAAAACCGCGTACTCTGATGTATTAGAAAGTCGGGGTGTTACATATATAGTGGCGGCCCCAGCTGAATATACGGTCTGATAACCGGATTTCACATCCGTAGCATATTGTTTTTGGGCTGCTCGAACTTCAGGATCGTTGGGATCCCCTCGGAGAGGTCCTCTGAACTGAGTCTTGTTTTTCTTTTCAAAAAATTTGTTTTTCTTTTTCTCGTCAGTGCCCGCCTTAGATGACTTCGGGTTAAAATTAAAGCCGGGGACCGACATGGCTTCCTCAGCTATGATGTGTTGCTGAGCTCGAGCAAGAAATTCTTGAAAGGTATTTGGCTTATTTTGACACAATGTCCAACGAAAAATTGAATTTGGTTTCAACCCGGCAATAGCCATAACAAGCAGAGTTTCGGGATGACAGGGCTCCATATTTTGGACTCGATCATTAAACCGAGCGATGTAGTCCTTGACGCTTTCATCATCTTTTTGAGTCACGTTCGCAAGATATTCCTTTGGGATTAGACAGACTTGGGCCCCAATGAAATGAGATCGGAAAGCCGACCTTAATTGTTGCCACTTCCAAATAGAATGAGGAGGAAGAGAATGGTACCATTTTTGGGCCCGAGGCCCCAGCGTAAGAGAGAACATGCGACACCGAAGTACATCTGAGGCTCCATGTAGGTCCATCCATGATGTGTAGTGACTGAGGTGTGAGTCGGGATCCGAAGTACCATCATATAACCCAATTTGAGGAACTTTGACTTTCCCAGGTACAGGTTCCGAAGTGAGCTCCGGTGTGAGAGGGTAGTCGACTTCCAGATATACTTGTGCCGAAGTTGAGGTCCGCCGATGAGGGTCTTCGGGCATCCTTTGTCGACTTTCCAACTCGGCGATTCTTCGTCGCAATGTTTCGAGTTCGGAAGATTCTTGGCGAGCTCGGTTTCTTTCAATGTGTTGACGAAGGTCTGTTTGAGCTGGATTAGAAGGGATTCGGTGTCGCGCATGAGGCGGTGATCGTCGTGAATGTCCAGACTGACTTTCGGCGGTTTCTTCATGAGGAATTACAAGGGGATTGCGTCTGACGTCGGTGCGACGCACGGTTTGTTCCGGAGGCGGCTGCGATGCTCGACTGCGAGGTTGAGACGTGGCGTGAGATGTGGTTCTTCCGCCGTCTTGCCGCACCGGTAGATTCTGCGGATTTTCGGGCGTCGTGGGTATTATGGAGTGCCCTGGGGCAGTCGCTGATGTTCCAGGGATCGTTTGAGCCATCAAGGTGGCGAAACCACGCGCAAACTCTGGGTTTTAAAACAGAACAGTGTAATCTGGTATATGGGGAGTTACGACTTGTCGTCTGGCGGATTGCGCAGCGCTGCGACTGTGGCCATCTCGTGAAGTATGACCACGATGATCAGAATGAGACATGATTGATGTGGCTGACGTGAATCACTACCAAAGAATTGGAGATTAACCTCAAATCACTTATGAGGCCCTCCTTCTAGCGCCAAACTGTTGTTGTGTGTTTCTTAACAACGATTTAACCTTGTATGTATTTAATAGAGTAGGTTAATTTGAACGTACAACATGAATAAATTACGCAACAATGGCCCCGGTCCGAGGTGAACCGAGGTCAAAAGCTTCTATGAGCTGTTTCGTGTTTCATTATAAGAGAGAGGATTTTTTTTTCAGAATCCCGTACAAGTACTATCAGCTAGCTATTTATAGTAACTTTTTGATATATATACACCGGGATTTGTGCGTCGCTTTTCCGATAAAGCTACTTTTGTTGGGCGGCAGAGCCAGTGGGCCCTACGCAAATGATGACAAATCTCGTGGGTTGTGAGAGGGGCGTGTAGGTGCCTTGTCACCTGCTTTAGGAGGTGACGACCTCAGTTCGTGTTGACCTCGGTTTGGAGTGACTTCGGTTGGTAGGGATTACTTCGGTCTTTTATGGTCGTATCGATTTGTTGTGTGAACCGGGATGACTTTAAGTTATGTCGGTCTGTGAGTCCAATTTGCTTATGATGTTGTTCAAGGTCCTTAATTGTGTTTTACCGAGTCGGATGATAACAGGATGGATTATTGTTTAAGTGAATACAATTTTTTAAATCGTCATTTGGGAAATACAAAATAATGGAGCCGTACAGGGAGTAATTATCTCAATAATTCTTCAAATACCTGAAATAAATCATAAAAGAATCAAAGCAAATAAATCCATCCAAATAATAAATAAGTCAAAAAAATATAAACATACGAATAAATTAAGCATGTAAGAATACACTATTAAATATATAAAACGCGCACATTTTTCGACCAATCACTTTCGCAGTGTTGTCGCGTAATTATTTCACATTTTATCAATCACCTTCGTCTGTCTATTGCAAAGTTTATCGCATAATTCATTTCACGCTTTATCAATTATCTTTGTCTGTATGTTGCATTATTTATCACATAATTTGATTAACATTTTATCAATTATCTTCTTCAGTTTGTCGAATAGTTTATCGCATAAATATTTTGCACTTTATCAATTATCTTTGTTTGTCTATCACCTATTGTATCCCATAACTTTTCGCACTTTATCGATTATCTTCACATAATATCATGTAACTTATCCATAATTTGTTTTGCACTTATTATCTTTGTAGATTTGTCGCATACTTTGTTTTGCACATCTATATATATTGAAAGAGGTTGATGGAAAAATCATTTGTGGAAAGTTTGACAAAAAATTATAATGTTTGACTTGCTATTAGTGAAAATTTCGAAAAAAACACATGTGAATCTTTATTAACAAAATTTGAATCCCATTTTTTTGGTAACAAATTTGAAAATTCTTATGGCAAATTTTGAATCTTATTTTTTTTGTATAAATTTTTTTTACCAAAATGTGAATCCAATTTTTCTTGGTAACAAATTTAGAGATTCTTATGGCGAAAATGTGTAAATTATTTATGAAAATAATTCCAAATATAAATTTATTTAAATATCATGCAAATTGAATACAAAATTGGGAAACAAATAATTGTATAATTATTAACAAATTCTTTCAATCTTTTTGAATAATTTTAAATGTGTGCAAACTGGATAAAACCACGTGCAAATTTTATTTTAAAACAAAATTTGAGATTTAGACGGGATATACATTTAAAATCGTATCAACATTTTTTGTAACTAAATTGGTTCATCTTCGATATTTAAAGTAAAATTTTATCCAATTATTTAGAAAAAATCGATAATTTTAAAATTGTGTGCAACTTTTACAAGAAAAAATCGTGTGCAACTTTTCAAAATTGAATGCACCGATTTATTATTATTGTTATTATTCTAATATTCTTATGTTGTACTGAGATTTTAGTAAGTTCATATCATTTTTTTGTTAAGTTCATATCAATTTTTGAAAGAAAGAAACAGTTGCATAAATTTTAACAAATTATTTTCATTTTTAATAGAATTGATTTTATTTCAATTTGTTTGGTAAAAAAATCGGTGTAATGTTAGGAAAATTCGGTTGTACGTGAAAAAAGTTTCTACTTTTTTGTCTACTAGAATTTTGTAAATAAATAAGTTCTCTTAATTTTTTTTAAATGTAATTTGTTAACTAATAATTAATAATACGCAATTTTAAATAAAATCGAAACACACATATAGTACTTTACGTGCCAAAGAATCAAACCAATGATGTTAAACATAAGGAAGTGTTCAATAACATATAAATTTAATTTTCATAATATTTTTAATGTCACTAAAAAACTTAAATACAAATTAAAATACATTTTAAAAAGCAAGTAGGTTATAAATGCTCCTGTGTAATCGCACGTGTATTATACTAGTTGAAGGATGAAAACGTTAAATTTGTTATTAAGCCGTGTGAAAACTTATTTTCCTAATTTCCTCATTTAAATATTCCGGATATGCGGTGGGCAACACGTTTTGGTAAACATCTTAGCAAAGAAGTAAGGAAGCAGCTCATTTTAGTATCCCAGCCGATCTAACTATTAGGACAGGACACCGCTCGTTAAAAGTGTGAAACACCTCAAGCATACACAAAACTCAAAAGGACAACAATGGACCTTCAAGATTCCATCCTGAAACAAACTCACGTTTCTTTGTCTCTGGCCAAGCATCTCATCTCCACTAAACCGAAAGATGCCAACCTCGTATTCTCGCCGCTGTCGATCCACGTCGTGCTGGGTCTCATCGCGGCCGGGTCCGGCGGCCCGACCCGGGACCAGCTCCTGGGCTATCTCAACTCCAAGTCCGTTGAGGATCTCAACTCGCTATCGTCGCAGCTGGTGACCCTGCTGTTCGCCGACGGCGGGCCGCTCGGTGGGCCCCGTTTGTCATTCGCCAATGGGGTTTGGGTCGATCGGAGTCTTACCTTGAAGTCCTCTTTCAAGGAAATTGTTGAGAATTCCTACAAAGCTGCCTCGAATCATGTTGATTTTCAGACTAAGGTTTGTTTCCCCTACCTTCTTTTCAGTCAGTGCTCATCATCGTTTTGGATTTACGCATGTTAAAGTAGACCGAATTAGGGTTTGTTGTCCAAATCACAAGCTCTTTGTTGCCTGTTATAGGGACTTGGTCTGGTTACTGTGTTATGACTTAATATTGGTAGCGTCACTATTTTGGGGGCCATTATTGATTTGCTGTATTAGGAACCAAATCAGTTTGTTGTTCATTTGGGGTTTGTAAGCTAGTAAAGGAGGGAAATTTTTAAGCAACAGTGTGGGTACTGGTTTGAATCACAGGGTTATATTTCCTAATCACTGAATTACAGTGAAAGTCGTTTTCTTTCATTTCACTCCAAATCGGGAATATGAAGTATTGATTGTAACTAACAAGATATATTCTGAAAATCTCCTCACTCTGGCATTTTAAACAGCAAACCATCTGCATGCTGCCGTGATCCCATTATTATCTTTACATGGGCTTGATAATTTTTGTATTGATTGATCTTTGTCTTGGAGCCTTATATAAATTATAGCATGATCCAATGTATAGAGGAGTTGATAAAAAAAAAAAACGTGACCGTTCTAAACTGTAATGAAAGAATAACTTCATTAGGTAGTTTGAGCATCTGCATTGGTCCTGGAATATTAAGTTTTTGGAAGAGTTTTGAATTATTCATTTGTAGTGAATGATGCAACTATACCCTCTTTTAACATCTTCTTTGTATGCACCGTCGTTCCTCTCGTAGGTCTTTCAGTTTCTATCCTACTTCATAAAGAGAGTGCAATATATATTTACAAGACCTGGACATAGATCTATCATGAACTAGTGGCTTCTCTTTAGAGTTAGAGAATGTTGACACTATCTACATATTTTGATATTAATTATCTAGATTCTGTATCAATCGATTTGTTTGTTTGTTCATTGTATGCTGTTGATTTCCAAAGGCTGTTGAGGTGACACAAGAGGTGAACTCGTGGGCCGACAAGGAAACAAATGGGCTGATCAAAGACATACTCCCTTCTGGGTCGGTCGACTCCACAACAAGGATCGTATTCACGAATGCAGTCTACTTCAAAGGCGCGTGGAACGAAAAATTTGACTCACACCTCACAAAAGACCACGACTTTTACCTCCTAGACGGAAGTTCGGTCAAGGCTTCCTTCATGACCACCTCGAAGAAGCAATACTTACTCGCGCACAGCGGATTCAAAGTTTTGAGCCTACCGTACAAGCAAGGAGAGGACAAGCGTAAATTCTCAATGCACTTCTTTCTTCCAGAAGCCAGAGATGGACTCTCATCATTGGTCGAAAAAGTTGCATCGAAACCCGGGTTCATCGAGAGACACCTCCCGTACCAGCAGGTGAAAGTTAGAGATTTTCTCATTCCGAAATTCAAGATAAATTTTGGTTTTGAGGCGTCTGATGTTCTTACGGGACAAGGTTTGGTCCTTCCGTTCTCGGGCGGTGGTCTGACTGAGATGGTTGACTCGGCTGTTGCACAGAATTTGTATGTTTCGAGTATTTTTCACAAATCGTTTATTGAGGTGAATGAGGAAGGTACGGAGGCTGCAGCTGCTTCTGCTGGTGTTGTGAAGCTTAGGGCATTGATGGTGGAGGAGGATGAGTTGGATTTCGTGGCCGACCATCCTTTTTTGTTTGTGGTGAGGGAGGATGTGACGGGCGTAGTGCTTTTTGTTGGGCAAGTGCTTAATCCTCTTTCGGTTTAGTTAATGCAACCATGCCTGAAAAATTATGCGTTTTATTTCTGAGAGTCTTGTTGTAATCAACTCTTTCTACTCTAATCCTATAAATCTACCTTCACTTGGAGATAGCCTGTCTTTATGTTGAATATCACCTTTTCTCTTCTTGTTCTTAATATATGTTATGTTATCGTGAAATTCTTGATTACCTGATTTTCTTTTTTGTACTTTTTTTTTCGAAATGATAACAATAGAAATACAAAGTTTAGTACAAACCAAATTTATCTGGAAACACACTTCTAGAAAATAAAAGCTAAAGAATCAAAAGCCAGAACCACTAAAGATCAAAAGCCAGAACAAGTGTCAAAAGCCAGAACAAGTGGTCCAGAAGGCCAGAAGAAGAATTAAATTGAGCTTAGATATACAATTATTCTTTTTTTTTTTTTTTTT